AAAAAAAAAATCATACTTAATAAAGCTTTTTAGGATCTTACAAAATTAATTAAAGATTTAAAATTGGATCGATTAAATGGAGATTTCTAAATGAAAAATGAGAGAAAAATTCCAGATATCAATCATTAGATAACATTTGATGAATTAAATAAATTAGAATTAAATTATTTTACATTACCAAAAGTTAAGAACTAGAAATTGGATTATAATGACCTCAACCTTATCAATAGGAAATCGAGCTATATATCTAAAATCCAGTACATATTGAATAAAAGTTTTATTGGAGATGTGCAAATGATTCTTAAAAATGAAATCGCACGTGAATATATCCCAAAAAAGTTTTTGATCAGTTAAATTTTTGAAAAAGATTCTAATTCTAGATTATTATATCGCCATACTCAGCCTGAATGGAAGAAAGCAATTTAAGAGTTGACTCAAAATAATTTAGTTAGCGTAATGAAAGAGTTGCTTAGGGATATGCAAGAATTATAGGCTGAAGTAAGTAACTTAGATGAGGAAGTCTAAAATCACATGATTGATCTTAACTCATTGATAAATAATTTTAAAAGTACAAATTAATTGATAATTTCATTGGGCCGAAATGAAGATGAAATAAAGAACCTGATTCAAGAAATATCTCAATTCACCAAAAAAATGGAGTAAGAACGAAGACAACAAAGAAAAAAAAAAATCAAAAAACCTGAAGTGTTAAACATTGAACCTGCTAAAGGTTATTAAGAGTGCATCGAAAATTATAAAGTAGTACAATTGAAGAGAAAGTTGTAACTTGATACCTGTAATTGTTAAATCAATCCAATATATGTTGAATAAAGATTCAAAATTAAAAAGTATAATGAAGAAGAGAAAATCGCTTAAGAGTTAATTTATGTCAATTCCTTAAATAATTTAAATTCGAATGTTATAGTGAGGTCGATGAGTTTCTTAAGAATAATAGAGGATGGTATGAAGTGTTATTACTTTTCGGTTCTTAGGGATCTCGTAAAACTCGAGAGTTAAGAATTATATAGAATAAATTGTGGGAACAATACCATTCATAGAGCTGGATTCTTATTTATATATCTTTATCTTCAGATCCATTTGATAAGAAATTAAAATAGAGTTTTAGAAATGATGAATATTATAATGATTTTCTAAAGGCAGTCAACTCAAAAGAAATAAAGGTTTTATTTTTACCAGATAATATAGATGAAGTAAGATAGTCATTTTAAAATAGAATTTAATTAAAATCAACTTTCAACATTTAGATATTGACAAAAAGTTGATTGAAAAACTGTGAAATTCATTGCTTCAGCAAGATCTGAGCTTAAAGACTTATAAAATTATAAGTTCTATTTCTCCTATAATCATAATAACATAAATTTGATGACTGAAATCTAATTATTGCCATTTAATGACGATTAAAGATAACAATATTTTTAATTGAATCACTAAATAAGCATCAAAAAATAATATTATTTAATCATTTTATAAAACATAGTAATAACTAAGATCATTTTGAAAATATATGGTAAAACCTTGAAAAAGATATTCAGAAATTCATTAAACAACAAGAGCGTGAACTCAAATATCTTATGAATGCAGATCAAAATTACTTGGATTTATAATAAGCAATTATAAGGAGTAAACTGATAGAAAATATATCACATGACTATTTTTCATAGATAGTTAACGATATATATGAACTTAGAAGTACAATTAATTATTTGGAAATTATAAAGAATCATCAATTTGAAAATCTCACTTAAACACCATTATAGTTAGAAATATTTGTTTTAAAATTGCCCACATTACGAACAGCATTCAAAGATATATATTTTAAAGAATAACCAAAAAATATCCTATTCAAGGTCTAAGCAGAAATATTCAATCGATATTCATAATCGCTTAATGTTCCATCTTTAATGTAAATATAAATAGATCCTGAAATTGAAGGTGTTGAGAAAATGTTATAAGTATTGGATTAATAAAACTTTTTTTTTAAAAATGTCATACTTCAATTTACTAAGTGGTGATGTTAGAGGAATTCAAATGGATGATGAAATATTCTCTAGAAAAAATGAATCAACTATTGTGATTGATGCATTGAAGGCTAATAATTTGACAATATATTTGATAATTGAAACATATTTGGGTGAATTAAACATAAAGTATGCTAAATACCTTAAAGATAAGATAAAATCATATGGAGGTCAACGCTAACTGTGAAAATTTAGCTTCTAAATGACAATAAAAAACCTTATAGTAATAGAATTGAAGATTATAAAAGAGGATGCTGAGGCTGAGGAACAATAATCAGAGTGTGAAAAACTGCAGTATAACCCTTATTTAATTATAAGATAAGGAAATACTTGTAGCTTTAAGAATAAGATTATATAAGAGTATTATTTTGCCCACTTCTTAAAAAGGATTCTAATCAATGAAAGGATGATAAATGTAATATCTAATAGTGAATTATAGCAAATAAATCTGACAGATAGTAATTTTACAGGCGCCTTGAATATTTTGAGGGAGGACCTTCGAAAATCTGAGAAAATCAAGGAAAAATTAATTAAAATCATAAAAATGTCTTAAGATTCTTAATATACGCGGGTTTCTTCTAATTCCTGTATTTGATATCTTTCCTGAATTTCAATCTTGGGGGAGAGGATCTTTCAAATATTTAATTATCAGATACAAATTTTCTGGAATCAGTTTTTTTAATTGCAATTTAAGTGGATCTGTATTTAAAAATGCCATTATCAATAGGTGTAACTTTGACTTTGCTAAATTAAATAATGTTAATTGGTCTACCATCTAAATTGCAGAAATAGCAAACCTATAACAAAAAGAGAAAGTAGAATACGTAGTTTTTACTCCTGATGGAAGCTATTTGATTTCTTTGTAAGCTATAGTGTTGAAAAAATGGGATTGCAGACCTTACGAACTAATGAATCAAGTAAATCAAGATAAGACAGACAGATCATTTTAAATCTTTAGCAATATCGAATATTCATTTCGCGAACAGTAAATAATATGTAGCAACTTGTTCTTAAAAAGAGATCTTTTCGAGAGATTTTAAAACTTTGAATGACATTCTATATAAAATACAAATACGTTTCGAAATTGCCAATGCTTTGCAGTTTTCTCCTGATACAGAAACAGTGGGACTAATTGACTCTGATGGATGGGTAAGATATTGGAAGTCCGACGGATAATCACTTTAAACTAAGTCTTTGGAGTAGAAAATCTTATATTACGTTCCTCCTACCCTTTATACTAAATTAACAATAGAGCATTTAATGAAAGTAATAGTTACTTCATGTTTAAAGGTAAAAAGAACTTGATATTATTTCAAGAATTGATCCGATAGAATCGATTGAAGAAGATTTATTTAATGCTTCATAAAGTGGAAAAAAATTTGAAATTGTTAATAAGGAGGATGTTATTTTTTATACATGGCATGTTCCAAAATTAACTGAAACCGAAAGGATTAATTTTAGATATTAAATTTTGTAGTTCATAACTTTAACTCAAAATTGGGAATTGGCATATAAAATAAGGAAGATTTAGTGCTATGGAATACTAAAAACAGTTGTATTAAAAGAATATTTAAAGGCTATTAGATAACCCAACGTTGTAATATTAATCCTGAAATGAATGTTATTGCCTAATGGAATGACATTAACGAGAACATCAAAATGTGGAATAGTTGATCATTTTATAATGGTGATCCAAAATAATATTTTGGGATTGTCCAAATGAAGAATGCTTTAACATTTTAAATGAATAAACTTACTCCTGCTTTTCCAAATTAGGTAATTTAATGGTTACATAATGGTCTAGTCATGGTATTATTTTGTGGGACAGTTCCAACATTTACGACTTAAGACGCTTATAAATAATTCACGACATCTATTTGTTCAGAATATTTTCTTTTCCAATTAGCAAGAACTTCTAGCTCTTATAACAGATGACCAAGAACTGATGAAAACCTGGAAATTGACATATATAATTCATGCAAACATTAATGTTAATGAATAAACCACTATCAATTCAGAGTTCGGTGACATAGTCTGCATAGCTATCTCTGAAGATGATTGTTAAATTGCTTATATTGAGATTAGAGAACCAAAGAGTATTCATATATATGATAAAGAAAAAGGAGTCATATTAAAAAAACTGAATCATTCTCAATAAATTTTGTCAATTGAATTATTTAGCAATGGATAATTACTTTATCAAGAAGCTAAGTTGAATCCATCAAGGTTTGGCATTTAAATCAGGTTAAATTTGTATCGCTTTGAGGATTTAATATTATCCAAATTTATTAGATGATTAACATATCTGTAGCTGGATTCCTAATCGAAAATTAATTATAGCATCCAATGAAGGAGATCAAATAATATTATGGGAAATCCTTTATTCTAATTATAACACATTATTGGATGAGAAGAATTAATTCACATAGGATATTGGCAATTTAAATTAATAATTTTAAACTTACTCCAAGACTTAACTTGTTGCTATTAAATGCAAAGACTAGGAATGCCTACAAGTTTCATTTTCACCAAATCCAAAATACATAGCAGCATCATATTTTTCCATTAAATAACATAAGTTTTGAAGAAGCAGAAAGAACTAATACAATAAATATAACTCTAAGAATAGTAATTTGGAAGTTGGATGATAACACTGTAGTCTATTCATTTGTACTTACTTTCTGGCAGAGATTTCATTTTTCTTCTGATTCATCATCTATTGTATCTCTTTAGTATGATGAAGTAAATAAAACCAATAAGCATAAATTTGACCCAATAATTCGCAATGCTGATACTGTCTCAAATTATATATAGAGATCATCCTTTTAAATACGTAATATTCTCTCCTAAATTTTAATAATTTTTAGCTGTGAGGGAAGAAAAAGGATTTATCAATCACATAGTTCTATTCACTATTTTCGATCAGTAGCTAATCTTATTAGATTATTTTCAGGTTCCTTATGGACTGGCTGTCACTTTTAAAAACGATGGTGAGTTCCTAGTATACTCAGGTAGAGATACTATCTTAATAAAGAAAATATATAATGTTGAATAGCGGACTGAAGTCAGACGACTTAAAGCAGAAAATCATTGGTCACAAATTATATCTAAGTCTAATGATAGCACTTTCTTTGCTTTTTGCGATGAAAAACGATAATTTATCTTGTCTACATATGATAAAACGGTTCAATATGAAAATGAAATGCTAAATTTTCAGATTCTTTCAGTTTCATTTGATTTGAAAAATCATACGATGGCATGTGGAGGAGAAGAATTAAATATTGAATAAGGTGCTGAGAAAAAAGGAGTTGTTAAAATAATAGATATTCACAATCTAGAAGCCCTTGATGTGCTTCAAAACATAATTTATGCATACAAGGTTATACATGTCATCTTATCAGACGATGGAACTTATTTATTAATTTAAGAGTAGGATTGTTAAATTTATTTGCTGAAAAAATAAAAAGACATTGATCAATATTAGATTGAGTTCATGCTGGATTATGCGGTAGGTATATTAAATGCTTCTTTCTCATCAAATTAAAATGATTTCATCATATTAATAAAAGGGGGAAATGTCTTCTTTTATAATTTTATTGATTCATCCTTAAGGTTAAAAAATGATATTAATAAAGTATTAATTCAATTATATCTTTTAAGGAATCAAAGACTCTATATAGGCTGAAAACAATACCTAAATACTACGCTATATAAGCAAGGAAGTGCGAATTGGAAGATGCCAAAATTTCTACTGAAAAAAGTTCATTATTATAATTATTTAAATGCTACGGTGCCCATTGAATTATAATTAATTAAAAATAAGGTAATTCCTTAAATAAATTATTCAATTTTTAATTTATGTAACCAAGACCCAAAAGAAACTCTTAAATTTTCAACTGTTATTTAATATCAATATATTTAGGGATAATACTAAAATTAACCAATATATATTTATAATTACACTTAGATGAATTGAAATATCATTTCTATATATTGGATAATAATAATCTCAAGATTTAATGTCACTTATTGATTTAATTGAATTGGTAAAATATTTACCAATTATTTTACAAATTTAAAAATTTTTTGTCTCAAAACTTATCATATCCTCTTAGTCACTATACATATCGTCTTTATTGTTCTCATTAGAATTATCAATCAAAATTGAGGTCTCTATTTCATTCTAAGATTCGAATACTTAGTTTATTTAGAAAACCGAGCACTAGGGTTTTTTTATCATTTCCATAAATAAGCTTTTGAGATAACCATAATCTGGCAAGATGTTGTACTTCAAAGAGTCTATGTAAGACATGATCTCCTAAAACTATAAAGGAAAATTCTGAGTTAAGGAGGTAGAGTTAAAATGAAATGACTTGATCCTCCCAATGACTTTGATGTCTACTTCCCTACATCCCCAAGATGGTTTTTGGAACCATGGCAAAGTTGCTAAGGGTTAAGAAAATACATACAATTTCTTAAGAAAACCAAAACATACAAGAGACTTTCTAAATCATCCTTGTAACCTAGCTATTCTCCCTTGTGCGATTGTCTGCTGGCAAAATTTAATGAGCCAATAAATACATCTTTCAATAATTTAGAATTTCTAATTATTTCCTAAGATAATCCAAAATCAATGAGTTAAATAAGATCAGGTTGTAATATTTTAGAATCATTTACCAAGGGTGATGATATCATTATGTTTTCTGGTTTAATATCGAGATGAAGAATGTTCAAATCATGAACTTTTTCCAAAATTTCAGTAATTCTCAAACCAACTCTTAATATTTAAAACAAAGATAATTGCTTCTTTGGCTATGTAACCTAAATTACCATGTAGTAATGGAATAATAAGAAAGGATCTTAATTGCTATATTCGATTAATTACTTATTCTCTGGGGTGACTCCATATGATATCATAGCTGGAATGCCTGCTGTCCCTTTTAATTTGTTAAGTATTACAATCTCATTTGCGATTTAACCTATTCTTGGGGATTTTTCAATTTTTATCGCACACACCTCGGAATTTAACCTATTCTCCACCTTATATATCATATGCTCAGACCCACACCCTAGATTTGAAAGAACATGATATTGAGATGCCTCAAGATACATCAAAATAACTAGTTATTATATTAAAATATTTAAAGAAAAATGATCTTGTTTAATAATCAAATTTACGGGGTGAAACCTATGTTTTTATAATAATATACAATAGATTGAAATATAATTTCACTAATTAACACTAAAATTCTAATTTCTGCTAACTATTACCTAGTAAACCTTGAAGAAAATCTCAACTTGAAAATCTCGCAATTATGAATTCTATTTTATATTTAAAATATTATCCTAATAATTTACACCCATATGTATTGATATTATGTTTTATTCTAAATGGTATGCACACAAGTTCAGAATATTTTTTCAATAAACTTACTCATTGTTGTGAAATGTAAATTCAGAATAATTTTCTTCTTTGATGACTTATTAACAATATGAGTAGTATATATTGAAAAAGAATATATACTCAATTTTTAAGTCAAACATAGAGGTCATGACAATAATATGCATATTAGCATTCTAATCAAACATCTAATTAAAAATGGAAAATACTTCACAATCAAACTTGATTTCTGTTATGTAATTTATACATGAAAATTATTTTTTGAATGCAATTATCAATCTTTCTCGGATTGAGCTTAAGAAGATAATTTCTCTGATGGCAAATTTTTTGACATCTAAAATACACCATTTATGATATTAATTGTAAATCTATCCATATATAATTGATGAAATTAGAAAATGAGTATCAAATTTTCAAATACTTAAAATAAATAAGAATAACTAAACATAAAGAAAAATGATTATTTTAGAACTTAGCAAAATTTCTCCAAATAATATGGAGTAGTTATTTATTAATCGATTAATTCGATCAATAAATCCATGTTCTTTAGAATTTTCATTTTTATTTTGCTTTAAAGATCAAAATTTATTAAGTTAAAGAACAATAGAATGTTTACTTTCTTAATACTTTCAATATTAAATAGAGACATTCATTTGAAGCTTAGAATTCTACATCCAATAAATCAAGTTATATTCAAATGCTAAAATAATTATTTGTCGAATAAGACAACATATATATATTTAGTTGATTACACTATTACTTTATAACATTATATTATTATTTACTGAATATAAATTGAGAGATTTTGTAAAATGAAAGGAGAGAATATCATCTAAAAATGAACTAGAATTGCAGCTCAATTAATTACATGTTAATGAGATTGACATTAATAAATATATTTAACTAACTTTAATTAAAATTTCTGTTAATTGGTATAAGTATATTTATTTCAATATCTGAATGTTTTAAACTTCCAAATTTTAGTATAACAAAATTAAGAA